CGTAAGCCAATATCACAATATGGATTTATAACAATACCTTAAAGAAAGTTACTGTGCAACCTATAATTTCATGTTCAGAATGGTCCCTTTCACCCAAGGCAGCAATTACCCTGGTCTTCTACCTCCTCCCACAGGACACTCAGTGCAACTCATGTTTTTATGAAACCTGAAAGAAGCAGGACCAGCAGCTCCCCAACAGTCAGATTTCAAAGTGGAGAGCTAAATCCCAGAAGAGCATACTTCAGTCTGTGAAAAACGAGGTTCACATATTTTTGTATAGAATTTTAAAGTTTAATAAAAATACAATTAAGAGATAAAAATAAAGTATACAGATATGGCTGGGTGTCTCTGCATTCAGCCATGAGAGCACACCTTACTAACAAAGGATTGTCCCTTAAAAACAGAATCCTACTACATATCCATAAATTCTCATACATATTCATACATTCTTCTTAAGTTTTTGATGCTCCTTTGTTTAGTTTTTACCTTGCCCCCTTCCCAATAGATCAATCTTCTTGGTGCCACAGGGTTTTCCACCCTCTGATAAGGATGCAATAAATCCTTCTCTTGGAGATCTTGGAGGACAAGATAATTTTAAGAATGCAGGGGGGGTTCTCTGACTATCTTTTCAGTCTCTGGGTTATATAAACAAAAAGTAGTTTGTGCTTTAAAATCATGTTATTGCCTAACATATATGTGTATTATACCACTATTTCTAAATTTCATCAATAACAAAAATAAAAAAATATATTAGTGCAACAAAGTTTTCTAACCTTATACATTACATTCATTATAATATTTGCGAAAAGCTAGTAACATAATGTGCGCTTGTTATAAATCTGTATTGTGATATTGGCTTTTGCAAGTATTAGGATGAATATTATATGTTAAATACTTTTTGGCTATGTATGTAATTTTTTCTTGCTAACAAGTTTCAAGCTTAAAGCAATCTCCTAGTACAAAGCAAGGAAACCCCAGAGGGCAAAGACAGTAGAGCCCAAGCTGTTATCAGCAGCCAGGACCAGGCTGGTGGCAGCAGCGGAAGGACGGATGTGGAGCCCAGCTGTCACCAGGGCAGGATGAGGGGCCCAGACTGTTATCAACACTGACCATTTGCAGAAGAAAGGAAACCAAACTCCAAATAATGATGGTCAGCAAAAATAATTATAATCAGCAAAAAATAAAAACTATACAGAACATGTTCTAAATAGGCGGAACCAGGGAGGGGACATGCTAAATACTTCCTGAAAAGTTTGAATATGCATTAAACCCTCACAGCAGGAGGGGATAAAAAGAGTGTTCCCAAGATACCAGGTGTGTTCCTGGCAACGCTCCAGGGCACCCGACCATTTTAACCCTTTGCTTTATTTCCTTTTCTCCTAATTGTCTTTTTGTTTATATTAAACTTTTTATAATTTATTAAGTGAATCTCGTTTTTCACACACTTATAACAAGTCCCTGGGAGGATGCTGGGATATTTCAGCAAACTAAAAGCAACCCACTTCCCTCTTCAAAAGAGAAATCTTTTAATCTAATCCATCCCAGGAAAAGTGGCTCTTCTCGCTTCCCTGGAAAACCTGTTCCAGCCCCAGTCTGTACCAAGGTGAGCACAAGTCCAGAGAGCTCACAACCCTCACCTGGCCTGCTGCGCTTGGAGCGAGATCCAGCTGCAAAAGGAATTCCAGAAACAGCCTCCAAACCTGTTCTATCATCACACCTTTAAAATGGCTGCAAGGATAAGAGCTGGGGAAGCAGGGTAGTTGTGAGGGGAAAGCTGGAGAAGCTGAAGAACAGGCATTTTCTTGTTTAGATTCTTCAGTGCTGGGAACTTGGAAAACACATGGGGTTGGATGCATCAAGGACATAATGCCCGTGGTTTGGTTGTTTTCCTTTGCTTGTGAGCTTTGGCTTCACCCCCTCTCCAGAGGAGGAGAAAATTCCTCCAGGGTATGGGGGAGTCTGGTCCTACTCCAGGGATGTGTCCAGTAAAGCAGGGGAATTGTTAGAGTAACTGTGTTTTTATTACACACAAAAATCAAACCCAACAAACACTGGACTATATTGAGCTGCAACAGAAAGTGTTCACAGCAGGCAGAGGCAAGAGGTGCAGACAGGACCAAGAATTTCACTTGTTCTTTCTGCTTACATGTATTTTAATTCTGCTTTGCTTCACAGCTGCAATTCTGCCAAAGTAATCTCCATTTTCAGAAGCCTGTGTCACATGTAGCCGAGGCTGGAAATCCTCACTTAGGATTTCCATGTCACATCTAGATTTGCCAGGAAGCACATGCATACACATATGCCCATTTTTGTGACAGGTCAGAAATCATACAACCCAGCAACTTGCTCCTCACTACACCACTTAGAAATACATTAAAAAGCCAGGAAAAAAAAAAACCCAACCAAACAACAACCCACAAAAGAGAGAGCTTATTTCAGCATCAGCTTAATATTCAAACCAGTGATGGAGAGAAAAAAAGAAGGAAAGCTGTTCTTCCAGTTCTCCCAGTTCTGGACCAAAAGGTTTGAAACAGCCAGTATTGCCCCACCTGCAGCTGTGGCAGCTTCCCTCCTTCCTTCAGCCTTGCCCTGACTTCTGAGCCATCACATGACCCAAAACTTGGTCTGCATGCACACCCACTACTAGTATGGACATGGTCATGTTCCATCTTTGGCCAAACAAACCCCAGGATGTTTTTGCTTTCCTGACAGACCTGGCATATTTCATTTACATTTATCAAAGCAACAGACACACTGTGTGGCTCTGGGGTCAGATCCCTTTTGGCACAAAAACCCGAGAGAAGATTGGAGGGAAGAATCCAACAGCAAATGGAAGTCCCAGATATGCAAGGAAGGGCTGCTTTTTGGAGGTTTCTTTTGGCTTTCGGGGCACAAGAAAGGCCTTTAGACCATTTGCATCCATGTCAAAAGCCCACACTGAGGACTTGGTTTTAAAGATGGTGCACTTAATGTTACAGACGTAGAATTACTTTGGGATTTGGCATTTCCTGCACCCACATGCATTAAAAGAATTAAAATCAGAGTCCTGAAGTCCAGTTATTCCAAGTCTATCTTGGTAGTGTCACTTGACATACCAAAATCCACAGCAATACTTAAAAAAAAAAAAGCAACTTTCCCTACCCCCCACTTTCAATTTTACAATTTAGGGGTTCTCTTAAGAACAGGTTAAAGAAAAGAAGAAGAAAAGCCCAAGACCTACTAGCAGCTAGGGTACCAACCACTCATTTTCCATAGATTTTCATTACCTGATGGCTTTTCTAAGAAAATAAATTCATACATGTAAAAACCCATCCAGTAGGCTGGTGTTTCTAAGCCCACACCTTGCAGGTAAAGGATTAGAGGAGGAGTGACACAGAGGGATCCAAGAGCTCCCAAGAGAGGTTCAAGCTGACCATCTTTGGGCAGGATTACTTGAAACTAAACTGCTCTGCAGCTGCTGCAAGCCTGGAGTTTGCAAAAACAAAATGAGCTTCCCCTCCTGCTTCATTTTCTGCCTTCTCTGCTCAAGGGAGAATCACATCATGCAAATGATAATAGGCAGGAAAGACCTGTCCAGTGCCCCCAGGATGGCTGGCACCAGGGTTCATTCCCTCCTCTGGCTGATGGAACTTAAAGCCAGGTGTTCTGGGATTTAAGGAGCAAAACCCAGCTCTGCCACCTGTTGTCCCACTCCCTCCCACATTTGCACAGCAGGAATATTGCTGGGTTCTGGTTTATGCCCCAAAGCAGCAGCCCTGGGAGTACTGCTGGAACCCGGAACACCCTCCCCTTCTCAGACACCAACCTGACTAGTCAGCCTCACACTCCTCTCCAAGGTCAGAAAAACTACAAACCACTAAAACATGGGTATTTTATAGCAAACAGGACCCATTGCAGAGGTCAAATGTCCCACACTACATTCCTGAGAATTCCCAAGGCTTTTTGACATGAAAGTAAAACTTCCACACATAAAGGACCATTTTACCTTGTAACAATATCCTCCACAAAACTGCCCGCATAAAAGCCCAGGAATTTGTAACTTCCTCAGTAACACATTCCACATCAAGTATCAGGTCCCTTGTTCCAAGAGCCACAGCAGAACCTCTGGCCATGTTCCCAGTGGGACATGAACACCATTTCCTCCTGATCCTGAGAGCTCCAAGGAAAAATCACTGTTAAGGTGGCACAGAAGATGCCGCTTTTCTGACATTCCCACAACCATGGCGCAGCAGGTTGCTGTGGGAGCAGGAATTATTTGTGCAGTTCAGAAGCTGCACATCCCTAAAGCATTCCCTTAGGAGCGTGGAGCTTCCCGTGTGCATTTTGTAGTCCAACTTGTCATTTAAGCATACTTCAAGGCAGTTTAAATTGGAATGAGCTGACTTGGTGCTAGCACATCATTAGGTATGGGACATAAGGAGGCTCACCAGACAACATTCACTGCAGACTCTCCATTCTCAGCACTCCAGCTGCAGTATTCTCATTTCTCACGGACTCTCAGTTCTGTTTCCAGCACTCCCATGAGGAAACTGATGGCCGTGTCCAGATGCAAATCCCCAAGGTATCATTGATCCCAATCACTGCTCCTCTTCCCGTCCCCCACTTTACCCCATTTATAGCCACGGCCCCACTCAGGACACAAAAGGAGGTTCCCAGGTGCCTCTTGAGACCCAAATAATTCCAGGTGGGTCAGGAAATAAATATAAATAAACTCATCCCTTTTGGAGTAACAAACTGTCTTTGTCCCCATTCTTCCTCTGTCTCCTGTTCCTGTTACCTGAGGCAACACACAGACCAGGTGGGGTCAGAGGGAAAATGTCAAGTCCAAAACCAAACAGGACTTGTTTTTCCATTGTTTCCATCAGGACTGTTCAGTTTTTCCCACTGACCCCCAGCCGTAGCCACAGGAACAGTTTCTCTCTGTGACCCACGGGGGTGGACACAGGGACACTCATTTCGCTTCTTCCCGGAAAATGGAGCTCAGCCCATCCCACAAAATCTTTTAATCGCAGCTGGGAACGCGGCACAAGCTTTATTCCATGAAACATGATCCCAGAGAGCCTCAAGTCCCGGGATAAACTCGTCCCACACAGCAGTCGGGTCCCATGTGTCAGTGCTGAAAGGCCACACACAAAGGTCCCTCTGTGGATCCATCCCTCCCCTCTGGCTGCTCACCTGCAGGCACCACTCGCTCCTTCCAGCCATCACTGGAGTAAAAACCGCCTTGGGAATTTGCTTCTTATAACAGTAATCAATTTTCTGATGGGAGTCTTTGAAATAGAACTAGTGTCTGCAACAAATGGGGATGCTACAGGTGGAGAGGCAATCTTGTTCCTGCAAGTTACCCGTGGGAAGAAAACAATTACCAGCTTTTATGCTGGAAAAGCAGGAAAAGGGAATTCTGCATCCTCTCCTGCATAGGATGTACCTTTTCACTCTCCTATAAAGGGACCATTTGAGGCTTTAGAATGATTGACGTGGGTCAAGGATCTGCTGCCTGAGCAGGGCAAAAGGTGGAGCTGCTATTCGTGATTGTGACAGACCTGGATAATTAGAGATCACTGGGAAATTGTTCAGTGCACCAAAAATGATAGAGAATGTCAGCTTGACTGGTGTCACATGTAGAGCTGGGACAATGACCCTAACACCCCAAAAATGTAAAGAAACCCTGAGCCACGCTGTGATCAGACCCCATAGGGGCGGTTTAATGGAAGCGCCAGTAAGGAATAACAGGAATTCTCTGGCCCTCAGCTTGGTCCTGCCTGCCTACACCACTGCCCTTGGGAAGTTCTTCCCAGGTGGAAAGCCAACAAACATTTTTTCCTTCATCCTTTAAAACTCTTCTCTGAAAACCTCCATTCTGCCATGTTTCTCCTCAAACAGCATCCTTTCCTCCTTCTGTCTCTCTGGTCCCTCCCCGAGCGTGCGGCTTCGCTGCTCCCCGGCGCTTTGGCAATTAATATAATTGATGCTGATCCTCGCTGGGCTGGCGAGAGGCGCCGAGGGGCTCAGGCCAGGGCCGGCCGTGCCAGCGCCATGGCACGCTGCAGCTGCTCGTATGACACAAACATCACCACGTTCCAGGAGCCCAGCCGCAGGAAGGACGGGACGAAGCTGTGTGGGTAAGAGCAGTGCTGAAGGGGACGTGTCAGGGACATCCCCATCCCCAAAGTCCCGCACGTGGGTTGGGATATTTGGGGCTCTGTGCCACACATCCGTGCAGTCATCGCAGAGGGTTTTGCAGGTGCTCAGCTCACCCCTTGTAGAGGCCGGCGGGGCCATCCTGCATAAGCAGGGCCAGGAGGCAGCTCAGGGCATTGCGGTACTGCCCGGGGCTGGCGTTCATGTACCGTGTCTTCACCACGTCCACCGGTGATGCCACCACTGTGGCACAGAACCCGGCCCCAAAGGCGGCCACAAAGTGGCACGGGACATTGTCTAAAGGTGGGGAAGAGACGGGGGTTGGATGTTGCAGGGACAGGGATGGCACCTGGCCATGCCCCCCTGCGCCATCCTCACCTGTCATGAGCTGTGCCCGCAGCAGCGCGTCCTTGAGGAGGTCATAGGTGACGAGCTCCCCGCAGTTGATGATGGCATTGCGAGCGATGTTGGGCAGCGTCCCTGGGCAGGAGGGTGGTGGCGTTGGGAATGCTGCTCACAGCCCCTCCTGGAGCACCCTGGGCAGGTGCCCCAGCCCTGCTGTCCCCATCCTTCTTCCCTTCCTCATCACCGTTTCCATTTCTATTCCCACCCCATCCCCTTCCCAGGCCCACTCCTACCTCTCCAGAGCCCGCGGATCCCCTCCTCCCTGGCGATGGTGCAATAGGCGTCCACGGTGCCACTGTACCGGCGGGCACTGTCTGACAGGGCCCCACTGGCCTGGAACCGGACCTTGACCACGTCGGTGGGCTGGGCACAGGCCACAGCCACAGCCCCCGTGGTGCAGCCAGCCAGGAGCCTCGCAGCCATGCCTGTGTCTGGAGAGGGCAGGAGTTGGGACTGCCGGCCCTGCAGGGTCCCCCAGCCCTCCAGGGACCCCAGGGTGAGTGGCCTGTGGTGCCTCACAGGGTCATCTCAGGGGGCTGTGCCTCCCCCAGGGTGAGTTTCTCCGAGGGAGAGGGCCATGCAGCAGGAAGGGGGTGCGCAGGGAAGTCCGGACTGCCTGGACACTCACTCTCAGCACCCTTGGGGGTGTAGAGCTGCTTCACAGAGTCGTACAGGCCGATGCGGATGGAAGCGAAGCTCATCTGGCGCTGCAGCCCTGCTGCGAGCCCGCTGTAGAGGCTGCGGGCTCCCTCCGTCCTCACCATGGTGCTCAGCGTCCCCAAAACACCCCGGTACTCCACAGAGCCCGTGGTCCAGGGGATCCTCACCTCGCCCTGGATCTATGGGGTGTCAAATGTATCACCCCCCCTTCTGTTCCTCCCCAAGCGCCACCAGCTCTGTGGCAGAGCGTGGAGAGTCCCTCGTGTCACCAGGTGCTCCCTTTGCCCACAGGGTTTTGGGGACCCGGCGGATCGTACCTGCAGCCGCACTTTGGCGGTGTCCAGGGGAAAGGTGCACAGGTCAGCGATGCAGCCGGCCATCCCTGCGCTGATGAACTTCATGGCGGCCGTCGGGGGCACCTCAGGCGCCTTCAGACCCACCATGGCGGCAGAGGGGCTGGAAGGAGAGGAGGGGCTTGTGGGGGAACCAGGAGGGTGAATCAGGACAGGGCTTCTCGTGGGTGTCCCATTCGGAGATGGTGCCGTGGCAGCTCTTGATGGCTTTGGTCCCAAAAACCGTATCCTGCCCTGTCTCCTCCCTTTTATCCCAGAGAAGCTGAGGCACAGGACTTGCTAAGCATGGGATCACCAATGCCTACCCTTCCCTATCCCACCCCAGCCATAACAGGGGTTGCTGGGTGAGATCATCTCCCCCAGAGTGACCTGCCCAGAGCCATGTCCCTCCGTGGCCTCACCGTAGGGACCTCGGCACAGCGTTCCAGCTCCTGCCTTGCACAGGCAGTGCCCTGAGAGCCGTCTCCCTGGCCCCAACCTTATATAGCACCCAGGAGGACATTCCAGCAGCCAGGGATCGGGTGACAGGAAAACAGTGTTCCCCCGGTGGCATTTCAGTTGATGGGACTGGGTCACCTGGCACCTGTGATGAGGTGGCTGTTTCAGCCCTCTGTCCCCCTCATGGGGCCCAGGCATAAGGAGGGGGGTCCTGCCCAGACCCCCTGCAGTGGACTGGGGAGGAATGCTGGTTTTTACCCTAAAACTGCTCTGGGAAGGACGAGATGCAGAAAACTTTCATCCCAAGTTTTTACAAGTGTTTCGGAGGCAGTGCAGCATTGAGCTCTTTGTGCAGGGCAGGTTGGATCCCTTTGCCCCACACAGACCACGAGCCACAATCCATCCTAGGCTCCTAGCAGGATTGCCTCTGTATGGTGGAATGTGTTCCCCAAGCTCAGAGGCCAGGTGAGCACCTTGGAGTGAAATCCATCAAACCCATGATGCCCTTCAGAGCGTGGCCAGGCACTGGATCTGAGGCTGCAGAGAGGGCCCAGGTTCAGGACACGAGGCTGGAGGCCAAGGTGGTGTGAAGAAATGCCCCCTTTCCTCCATTTTTAAGAAACTCTGCATGTTCAACCCTTGGTGCTCGTTAGCCCCACATGCAGAAAGGTCCCTCAGGATGTGCTGTGAGCCTCCGCTCGCACCTGAGCTCACCTTGCACAAGAGGGACTGCGAGTGGTCCTGACACCCTGAAGCCATCCCTTGGGTCCAGACAAAAGCTGCCTGGCACCAACACCCCTCTCCAGCTGGCTCCTGCCTTGTTTTCTTGCCCGGCTGACCTAAACCTGAAAGGAAGAAGCTGTTTACCTCATACCCAAGATGTAGCTCAGGGTCACTGCTGTGACCTCCTCTGTGACAGTGATGCCAGCTGGGCTGGCATCCTGCCTGAGCTTTTTTTAGGGGTGCCACTAGGAGAAAGCAGCCTGCACATCACTCCTGTCCTTCCAGGGGACACTGGGTGCCTTTGCCTCACATCCTGACCCAGCAAGGGCAGGAAAAGCGGCCACAATCACAGGGCAAGTTGTGTCAGCAGTGAATTACATATTCGGGGAATACGGAATTATCCTTGAGAAAAATACTGCAGAAGTGGGAGAAAAAAGGGATGCTGATCATTTGGTTGCTTAAATCCTGAATTCCACACATGGTTTGAAAAGCAGCTCAGATTGGAAGCGACTCATCCCACATGGGGCTGTGCTGCACGTTGATACTCAAGTCCTTGGCAAAGCAGCGATCTTTCCACGTGCTCCTGGCCACCCCAGCTTCCAGCAGCATTTCTCTGATTTGGAAGCTCACATGGGAGAGACTCCTGTTGAGGAAAGTTTCCTGCCCTGGCATAGGGACACTTTGCATGGGCTGACAAGAAACCAGGAGAATTTTATTGAAACAAACACTGGAGAGAGCAATACAAAAATAATTGAGCTCTGTTGGCATCAAAATCTGTTTGTCTGGTGTACAAAAATAATTTAAATATAAATATAAAAGTCCCATCTTTCTAGTCACCCTCTTTTGTACACCCATCAGATTTTACAGTGCCCTGGGCCTGTGTTCACACAAGCACTTTGGGCACCTGTGGAAACAGAGAATTGTGTTGCCCACCAACTATTTTTGAAGGGGCCATTTCACAGGAATAAAACCTAAAACCAGACTACTTGGAGAGCAGACAACAAGCCATGGGTTACCCACAGGGGTGTGTCTCATGGGGACCTGCCCCTACAAGAAGCAGCTCCCTGGGGGTGACCACAGGCTTTAAGCCCTTCTCAATAGGGGACTTCAATTAACTAACCAATTAGGCAAACTAAAAACAGCCTGAAAGCTGTGGCTTCCACCTCCCCTTTACTGGAGGGCTCAGCCTCTGCCAATGCATCTGGCCACAGCTTAGGAAGCTCTGCTGTGGATGGTCTTGGGCCAGCACTATTCCTTCTTGGAGAGCTGAGCAGAGAAGATCCTGGCGATTCTTTTGGCTTCCTCTTCCGAGAGCTCGGGGCTGGGCCTGGGCCGATTTGCTCTTCGGTAGGGGATTCCTCCGGGCACCGCTGCACTCCTGCTCTGGGGAGAGAAGGGACCAGGGAGTGAGAGCTCTGCCCTGAGCTTGGTTTCATGTCATGGCAAACCACGGTGCTGTGCAGAGGGTGACAAGTGGGATACCCAGAAAAAAACACCCCAACGAGAGAAAGAGAACAATCTGAACCCTGGAATGGGGCTCTGGTGTGTGACCTCTGAACTTGTAAGCATCCACCCTCAGCCAAAGGAATGACAGTGGTGTAGTCACTGGGACCTGTCTGCATTTTGGCTTTCAATTATTATTTTACTTTAAAATTCGCAGAACCCTGAAGACCAAATCTCCTCACAGGGGAGAGGCAATATTCTGTTACAACAAATCTTAAGCCTGATGACAGGACAAGGCAGGGAATGGGTTTAAACCAAAAGAGGAGAGATTCAGATTAGATGTTGGGAAGAAATTCTTCCCACTATGAGAGTGGAGAGGCCCTGGCACATGTTGCTCAGAGAAGCTGTGGCTGCCCCTGGATCCCTGGAAGTGCCCAAGGCCAGGTTGGATATGGTTTAGAGCAATCTGGCCCAGTGGAAGCCATGGCAGGGGGTGGGGCTGGATAAGTTTAAGGTCCCTCCCAGCCCAAACCATCACTGTGATTCCATGATAAATGGGATGGGCCAAGTTCAGCTACCTTCAGGGACCCCAAAGTAGCACCCATGAGAGGAAAAGCCCTGCTTTAAACAGTGTCATCTCCTCACTGCTTTGCCAGCAGCCTCCTAGCAGCCTGGCTTTGTCCCTGATATGCCAGCAGCACTAAAAGATGAGTAATTTCAGCGTACAAAGAAACACATTTCTCCCCAAATAGTTTAGAGCTGAGCTGTGCCAGTGAAGCACTGAGAAAGAGATCCTGCTCCGAAACCTTTACAGGAGGAAGCTGTGGGGCCAGGAAAGTCTTTTGGAAAACTGATCTGCCAGTGTGGCCTTTCACCTACATCACTGGGCTGCTTCTCCAAGCCTTGGGAAAGGTCTCCTGAGGTGCCCAGCTCCCTCTGAGAGAAACAGCGTCAGGGACCCTGTTTTGGTGCACTCTCACCATTTGGAGAGGGAAATGGCTTTTTTAGGAATAAGTTAGTCCTTGTGTTTGTGCATTACAGGCTCAGGTGACAGCCTGCAGGTAAAATACTTTAAAACACTTCCCATTTTTATCTCATTGAAATAACAAATATGGACAATTAGGAGAATCTTTGCTTTACTCTTCTTTCTTCTTAACAATTCTCCATGATGAATTTCCTAAGTCAAAAGGTAAGGAGCCAAGAGAGATTAAATGCAGACCTGGTCACAGTAGAAGCTTAAAAACCAGCAAAGAGAGCTGCTCACTGGGCAAAGCACCTCCCTTGGACAGGGCTGTCCAGAGACCAGGACAGGAGCTCATTCTTCCCATGCTGTTTTCTGCCCATCTGTCCAAGGAACAGCCAAAAAGTCAGGAGTGGCTGGAGAGGGGCAGTGATCAGGCTCTGTGCTGATCCCTGAGCTCTGCACAGCATCTGAAAGCGTCTCTCCAGGAAATTCCCCCAATCTGCCAATTAACTATTTCAAAGGTGCATGAAACTGCATTTCCTGCCTCCCACAGCTCCCCTTTCCCATGTGCCATGTGTCCTGCACAGACAGGGATGGAGAGCCAGCACCTCCCATTTTCAATGTAAGGAACAGAATCACAGAATGGTTTGGGTGGGAAAGAACCTTAGAGCTCATCCAGAGCCACCCCTGCCATGGACAGGGACACCTCCCACTGTCCCAGGCTGCTCCAAGCCCCGTCCAACCCAGCCTTGGGCACTTCCAGGGATCCAGGGGCAGCCACAGCTTCTCTGGGCACCCTGTGCCAGGGCCTCCCCACCCTCACAGTCAATAATTCCTTCCTAACATCTAATACCCTTAAAATGCTCTGTACTCCAAAGCCACAACACAAGAGCAGGTGCCTGATGCTATTTGATGTCACCGAGGCAAAGCAGAGCAGTCTGTTTACTCCCAAAGTCAGGAAACCAGGTGTGCTTGGAAAACACACCACTGGCAGGTTGTTTCAGAGATGAGCACCTAAAATACACCTCCTCCCATTTTCCTACCATTGCCCAGTGTGCAGGATGAAGTGGTGTTAAGACATATGTATCTATCCTAATGACCTTCCTGAAAATGAACTGCCAGCTGTGGGAAAGGTTTAACACCTTGGCTGCTATTTTACATGTACAGGTGTGACTCAAAATGAGTGAGGTTTAAAAACACCATTAACACTCCCAGCTCACACAGATGACCAGAATCATAGAATCATGGAATTATTGAGGTTGGAGAACACACGTAAGATCATGGAGCCCAACTGTTCCCTCAGCACCGCCAAGGCTACCACTATCCCATGTGCCAAACTGCCACATCAACACAGCTTTAAATCCCTCCAGGAATCACCACTGCCCTGGGCAGCTGTGCCAGTGCTGGACTACCTTTTTGGGGGAAGACATTGTTCCTCTCCTGGCACAGCTTGAAGGCATTTTGTCTTGTCCCTTGTTCCCTGGGAGCAGAGCCTGACCCCCCTGGCTGTCCCCTCCTGTCAGGGAGCTGTGCAGAGCCAGAAGGGTCCCCTGAGCCTCCTTTTCTCCAGGCTGAGCCCCTTTCCCAGCTCCCTCAGCTGCTCCTGGTGCTCCAGACCCTTCCCCAGCTCCCTTGCTCTTTTTTGGACATCAAACCTTCCCCTTTGATCCATCTCACAGGCAGGTTCTGACTGCCAGTTTTATCCTCCTGCATAGTTTCCAGAGCACACATCTGAAATGTTGTGTTTACACCATTCCTCACCCCAGGAACAGGCTCAGCTCAGTGCCCATCCCAGCTTTCTCCCTCTGTGTCTCTCA